CTAAAATACATGAAATTAAAAATGTTTATAATTAGAAATTAAAATTTTAATCCCGTGGTTTTCTATACAGCCTACATCGTTCATGCATTCATTCATAAATAACATTTTTACTATATTGAGCAGCTTACTAAAATATAATTTAATTACATTGGATACATCGCGATCACAACCCGTTTGGCAATTATGTTGTCCATAGATAAAAGTATTAATTTAAAAGGAAACCAATAGTTTCCCGCAACATTATTCTTTTCTTTTTACTAAAACTTTTTCACTATAAACTGATAAATTAAATTTACTTCATGAATTGACAAAAGTGTTTACGTTTCTTCAACGTGGGATTTCACCTCAAAAATTTTATAATATAACTAGGCAACCCGGCGAACTCCGTTTCGCCACCAGATGGCTTCGTTTTATGTAACATTTCGTTTGGTGATTAAAAGATGAAGAAACATTTTTTTTTGAAAAGGAAAAATTTTATTTCATTTCACAACATTAATGAATTCATTTCGATTACAAAAATGAAGTCTTATTTAGTTGAACTTCTCTAAGTAAATGAAAGTGAATCCAAAGTAAATAGTCCGCAAATTATCCGTTTCATTGAAGTGCTCTTTGGTAAACCACATTTTTTGTTTTTTGGTCTGACGTTAACACAAACAAAGCGGATGGTTTCCCAACTCGTGAACACGTAACGTATAACTGCCCATGTGAAAAACAATGATTTTCTAAATTTATCCCGCAAACACTAAGCGATTGGCCTTGCGACTCGTTAATTGTCGTTGCGAACGCAAGGCGAACTGAAAATTGCAATCGTTTGAAGTCAAACGGAAGATCAGTCGGAATCATTGGTGTTCGAGGAATATATACATTTTCACCTGCGTACTTTCCGTTAATAATGGTTGCCTCAATCAAATTCGGCAAAAGTCTTTTTACCGAAAGTCGAGTACCGTTGCAAAGTCGCGGTGGATTCAAATTACGCAATATCATAATAACTGTACCAACTTTGAGTTGCAAGTTATGTGGTGGAAATCCTGGTAACTCCAGAGAGTTCAAAAACTCCGTTGGATAATTTACTACATCATCGGGATTTGTTATGGAATCAACGAATTTGTATGTCACCAAATTTGTGGCAAGAATAGCTCGTTGACTTAACCACGCATAATTTTGATAATTCTCACTAGTGTTTGGGAAAACATTTTCAATAAGAGCTAATTGAGAGTCTACAAATCGGCAAAAGTCGTTGGTAAGAGCCATTAAACCAGATGTCGCATCAACTGGGACTTTTCCATTTCCAACAACTAACAATTGTTTGGAAAATTGTGCAGCATTTTGACCATTTTGAAGTTGAACTCTCATATTAGTGGTTAGCGATAATATTTTAACGTTATTCCATAAAGGTGATGCCTTCAGGCAAGCATTCAATTCATCTGCAGGCGTTCCACGGGAATTACTGGCAAGGTCTACTTGAAATTGCCTGCCAACAATAATTGCAGCAACATCATTAACGGTGGGTGCATTGAATCTTCGCACATGTTTACTCGTTGGGGTACAATCCGCTCTTATGACAAATTTGTGCGTATCCGATGGCATTCGTTCCAATGCTGTTTTGAACATATTAACCACAGCATTATTAGCGTGAAAAAATGCTTGCAACTTTTCAATAATTCGTCTCTTTAACTGTTGTGTTCCCTGTATATTGCACCGCTCATTCAGCTGATCCACCATCGGCGAAATGAAATATATTTGCAGAAATTGATGCGGTTCATCTGGTGTTGGCACCATTGAACCATGCAAATGATACATTTGTCCTTGTATCTGTAATTGCAAACAATCATTTGTTGAAGAATACGGTGTAACTTCTGATCGTGTGATGGTGTAGTGTGTGGTGTATATGTAGTTGTTATGTGTTGCAATTCATTGTGTTGGTGTGAGTGATTGGTTATGTGTGTTGTATCTTTTACCTTGCAAGTCGGCATGAAGCCGCCTTCTCGAATGATATTAGCTCCAAAAGAAGTCATGCGAAAGCAGTTATTGTATTCAAGGATGTGTTGAAGAAAATGGCTGGAATCGGGATCACTTCCATCGAACAATGGTTTCAGTGGCTGTGGTGGTGTAAGTAAAGAATTCAGTTTGTCTTTTTCACTTGCGCAGCACAATCCAGCCGTTTCTCTTTCGAACTTTAACGCATTGCAATATCGGCATATAGTCGTCATTGGTCCAATATCTAAATTTTCATCATCACTGTAGTTCGCAGTGGGATCATATTGGAATGCCAAGCGATTATATTTTGTCTTTCTTCGCTTAAGTTCTGTGAATACACTTGTTGCTGGCTTGCATGTATTGTGTGGCGGCCGATGTTGGCACGTCGTCCTCTAGGCATTTTAAACTATGGACAGAGTGGTGAATTTAACCTCAAATGCACGCTCCACATAATTTATACAGTTCAACTTACCACCTTAAAGACAAATGCCTACTGTTCAATGTGAATAAAAATGTGCACAATACACGTGATTGATTTGATGGTTTCCAATTGAAACGAATAACTTATTTTTTTTTTACTTTTTTTTCACAATTTCACAGCGAACACAATACCGGTTTGTCACATGAAATTAACTGAGCAGAGAACAATGAGTAGCTGTCAAACAATGTATCACGCACCGGCGCCATCTACTTAAAATATTGGTTTGTAGTACATTCTATGTATCAGAGATGGCGCTGTATGTGAAAAAATATTTCCCCGCTTTTCTGTTGAAATTTTTCCTGAATTTCCTTTGCTATAAACCTCACGGAGCCCGAGACCTTTCCAACGAATACAAAACCGTGGAAATCGGTTCGTGCGTTCTGGAGTTATAGCGTCAGGAAGGAAAACCCGACTTATTTTTATAGAATAGATTGTAGTAGAAACATTTCTTTTTTGATACGGTGGTAAAATCGGACAATAACCCCTCCCACCTCACATGCAAAGAGTATGCTCAAAATTACTAAAAGTGCGATTACCGTCTGACTTAAAACATCAGAAGAAACATCTAAATTCAACAGTAGAGATACGACATCAGATGACCTGCATACACAAGCAGTATCAGAATTACACAATGAGTGTGGCACCACTGACTTTGAGGTCTAATCTTTTATTTAGGCAACTACTCGACCACTTTCAACTAAATTTGGTGCGTAATATTTTCTGGGTATCCTTTAAAAATAGGTGAAATTCTCTACAACCCCGCCTACTGTTCATATACCATAATGCTGTAAAGACCCTAGATACAGAATATGTGCCTATGACCGACTTTTTATCGAAAATAGCGACCTGTAAGATGTCTTAATGAAATGAAAGTAAAATGTGCTCTGATGCTAAAACTACTGGTTCAGTATTTTCTTAGCCTTCACACATCGAATACATTGACTTTCGAACCTACGTTTACTTTATACCATATTTATTTATCAGTCAATACTTAATTGAACTTAGCAAAATTAGGGGAACATACTGTCCTAGTTATGTTATAGTTTGGTACCGAAAATATGTAGGTGAAATCCATTCCAGCCCCATTTACAACATATTATATAATGTTTTTCGTTAATGTAACTGACATTCGGCCGAATCTATACTTCAGGTTAATGTCAAAAGAAAATAAAATATATCCAGACCTCCTTATATACGTAGGTTGCCTTTTATATTTCGGAACTTGGCAACTCTATTGTAGATCACTCCAAGACGAATTTCGTAAAAGTCGTCCAAAATCAATTGTTGTTAAGAAATTATTAATGCTGTGTGCAAACTGAAATTGCAAGGTCGTCATGTGATCTATCGAGAGATAGAAACAACTATTGACTCCAGCATACATTTAATATTGCATGAGCATTTGGCTTAAAAAAAATGTGTTCACCTTGGATCCCACACAAGTTGTTAATCGCTGAAAAAAGGCTCGTGTCGATTGATTGAGAGAAATGTTAAATAAAAATACAATAGCGGTGCTTCGAAACACGTCTATGACGTCGTGACAGGTTATGAACGCGCAGGTGGATTTACTCGTATGAGTCCGAAATTAAACAGCAGTCGACTGTATGGGTGTTTCAAGATGAGCCGAATCCACAAAAGTTGTTCGCGCACGAAGCTCTTCTAAGCAAATGGTTGCCGGTATTTTTAGAAAAACTAGATATGTCGCAACCAAACCAATAGAACCACAACGCAGAGCAGTAAATTCTGAGTGATACACAACTATTTGCTTGCCCGTTGTCTTTCAAGAAATCAGGAAAACCAACTTCCGAAGACGGATTACTCTTCACGACCACAATGGCAGCTATCAAACCTCGACTGAAACAACTGTATTTTTGAGTTCTCAACATCGATTGGATGAATCATTCGCCGTATAGTCCTGACATGGGACCGAATGACTGTTTTTTATTCCCGTACCTAAAAAATAAACTAAAAGGTCAATGTGTTTCGACATCTGAAGATGCGGTTGATGTGCTCAGAACGCATGTTTAGCAGTTACTTCAATCAGAGTGGGAATAATTCTTCGAAAATTGATTCAAACGCATCCAAAAGTGTATAGATTTTAATGGAGAATATTTTTACAAACAATAAAGGAGTTTTCGATGATTAACATTTGTTGTGGATCTCTAATAGCGAAATATAAAAGTCAACCTACGTAATTCGACAAATTAAGTTGACGTGTTTGTTTGACTAAATATACCTACAATATACTTATAAAATTTCGTCGCTTTATTAGCGTGAGTCATATCACAAAACTAAATGAGAACACTTCGATTAGGTCTATGACATTCGGCAAATAATTTGGTGATATCGGTATAGAGCTTCTCACAGTACTAATATGGTGAGTACAGGGATTTGCCTTAGCTAAGTTGATTTTAATATTAATCTTTAGAATATAAAACAAAATGAAGTAATGAAAATATGTGAATTTCGAGCTCTAGTATACCTAAATAAGAAACAAAATATGATTGTAGATTGTCCCTTACTTTTTAGTAACTTTTTTCTCCCCTTCGTTTAAATGGCATTTACGTTCGTTCTTCATTTATTCATGTCACTTATATTACTATGAAAAGAAATGCATTGTCTTGAAAGCATTTTCCCTGTTGCTTAAAATGGCTTACAACATAAAAATCATACATAACACTAAAACGTTCATAATTATTATAATAAGTTTACTTTATGAAGAAGCCATGAGCGTCGCTGTTCTGCTAATATGCCGCCAACGATTTAAATACTCCACACTGTAGTGTAATCCAGAGAAGCTAGCAAAATTGTGCTATAGAATCCAGACTACTGAGAGGTAGTAGATACTCGTTAATAATCTTTATATAACGTAATGTTCATATATCTAGCACAAAATGTATGTGGAACTTTACAGTCTTGTTTGTTTACCGTTTGTAGGAATGTGATCGCCATTGTTCCTATTGTCGCCACTAATATTATCTCCATCACCAGAATAACTAACATAATTAGGTGGCCGTGGAAGACGTCGGCGCAACCACGGATGTTTAAGGGCTTCTGCCGGTGTTATTCGCTTTTGTGGATCCCATTCTAAACAACTCCGTATAAAATTTAAAAACAATCCGTCTTTACAGTCATCTAAAACATTTGAAAGGCTTTTAGAACTTGGCGGTCCACGAACCTTTCCTCTACGCGATTGGCCACCAGTTAAAACGACTGTACCATCAGTCATTGTGCGTATCGTACAGTATCTAGGATATCCCTTTGGGTTAAAGAAAGCCTTTGCGCGTTTAGCACAGACAAGCAAGTTTTTGTTTGGCATACCAAGAACTTCAATTATACATGCTAATTGGTCACTTTCATTTTCCCCAGGAAAAAGGGCATGCCCAGAAAGCAACTCAGCCAAAATGCATCCCAACGACCACATGTCAATTGCTCGTCCGTATTTAGATCCAAGTATAACTTCAGGTGCGCGGTAGAAACGAGATTGGATGTAGGTATAAACACGTTGACTTTCATAGCATGATGACCCAAAGTCGATGACCTGAAAAAAATAATAAATGAACATATTAATTAAGTGTCTCGCAATATATTGCTACAGAGTATAATATTTTTGTTCACCTAAAGGTTGTTTGTATCAACTTAAACTAATCGAGATAGATATAGAGTTATGTATAGTTATGATCAGGATGACGAGTCGTATTGAATTTCGGGTGAAAGTCTGTCCGTCCGTTTGTGCAAGCGATAACTTATAAAAACTAACAAATCATGATGAAAGTTGGTACACGTGTTCGTTGGCAGCCAATAGAGGTTGGTATTGCAAATATGTGGAATTGAACCATTGTCCCGCCAACAAAACGCTATTAACCGAAAACTTATAAAGTGCCATAATTCAACTCCCCAATAAGATACAAATTTTTGTTTTGGTACAATGAATCGCCCAAGGGAAGGGCAAAATTTTTGAAAAAGTCATAAACATCATAGTACGATGAAACCCTCGGAAACGAAAGATAATATAACAAAGGTTCAGCGAAAAATAATTTACGTGCGGTCTGAGATCGGCAAAAGGAAGAGGAGGGGCGTGGTTGAAATTTTAAGGGTTAATAATATTTTATTTCGTATGCATAATGCAATCAATTCGAAATAGCAAACCTGGCATCTTTGCCAAAATTAAAAGTTCGAAAAACCATTACTGTCATAGCTGTTACGTAAAAACGTGCAGAACTTGCAACATTTGAAAAAAAGTTGCACAAAATTTACTGTATTACCGAAAAAGCCCTATCGGGATAAAACTTTGCACAAATAGTGTCTTTGAGGGATGCCATCAACAGCGAACACACGTACAACACTAGACCCAACCGTGAGTCGATCCTCTGGCTAGCCTTAGTGCCTTAAGTTGTGAACGTTAAGGGTGAGATTGGTAGTGAGTTGATTTTCTGACCAACTCAACCCTTAACATTTCGGTCGCAAAAAAGTCTCCTGTGGTCCGGGACTTTGCACAGCTATACCGCAGTCACGCCGCAGTACACCGCGAGATAAACGACAGACCGTCGTCGTAGCAACCACAAGCGCCAACGCCTGCAGCAGGACATCGTCGTCGAAGTCTACACGAGCGGCGGCAGAACACATCCGAGCGTCAACGCACGCAGCAGAGCATCGTCGCACATTACCGTCGCAGTATACACAGCGCTATCCTCGGGTGACGCCACCACTCGATGGAAGACCCTCAATCACAAGAAGCAGGGGCAGCAAAAAGCTGCGTTACAATTGGAAGAGATTTAACACGCAAAATTATAGATCTTATGTGGTTGGACCAGAGAACTTAGAAGAACGAGAAGGTGCAGGTTCGACAGCGAACATTTGTTAAATTTCGATCGTGGATTTCATCGCACACGCAGGGGAAATAAATAACATTTCTCGCTTTTATAACATACGCTCTCTTAACATAACCAACCGGCGAATATTGAATAGACCAAACTAGGAATATTGATATACCATGTGAAAAATATTTCCTTTTATTGAACTAGTATTTATTATTATTTTTAAATTATTTAAGTTAATTCATTTTTACTTTATTGTGAGTTATTAGTAACAATTTAAAAATATATTTTGATATATTTCTTAAAATAATTCATGTACTTGACACCATTATCGAGTCACAAAAGTACAGAATTGTGTTTTGCCGTCGGCATTTCACATTCATGCTTCAATTTTTCTTTTCAGAGAGAACTTGTAACAATTTTCTTCTTTTATGTTCTATGTAAATATGTATTGAAAGTGACTAGCTTTCTTTGTTCCGCATAGGTGAAATTGTCAAGTGTTGATAATAGCGCCAAAATCAAATACATAATGTACTCATATGTAAATATGTTTTAAGCTTATATAAAATTGAGAAGTGTCAATAATTCCGCCAAAATCCATCAAGTTTGTGATTTTGTGCCGTTCGGTTCTAAAAATAAAGAATAAAGTTAAAAAAAATTGGTAACGTAGACTGCAGGCCAGTACAAATTTTTCGAGTAACTTCCGGGTTAAAATAGGTGAAATAAATGTTAATTGAATACATCAGTCTAATAACTAGTACACATTTCTCTTTTTTTATTTCATCAAAATTCTACAAAAACTAATAGCGCCTTTTATTATTTTTAAGTTGTAAATAATTAGTTTAATAGTTTGTAGTAGTTTTAGTATTTGTTATTGTTAGTTAGTTATAGTAGTTTACAAGTATAGTATTAGTATTATTTATTTATGTAGTTTGTAGTTATCAATGCACGTGAGCCACCCTGCAAAAAGCTATGGAAAAAGATCTAATCTTCAATGATTAGGTTGGGTGAGAATTTGCTGTATGTTGGTAGGCAAATTCTGAAAGTCGTATGTTATTAAAATTATATACTATTAATAAATTTATATATTTTTCTAATAAACAAAATTTTATTTTTATTTTTAATTCCAGATTTTTTATAAATTTAAATTAATTAAATTTATGTATATACAAACATGTATTCTTTCTGATATTATTTTTAATAAATTTTTAAAAAATATATTGTTGCTCAAAAGTCTATTTTATTTCAATATAAATTTCAAATGATTTTCCTATAGAAATTTGCTTGGCGTAGAAGCAAATGTGCAACAGGACATATATACTTGTATGTATATTATGTCGTTTGCACATTTGTATGTATGATTGCGAAAGCAAATGTTCTACAAAGGCATATTTCTGCGGTCAAAAAAATTTGTCTATGTTGTATTGATTTCTGATTTTTGTTTAAAAATGTTTGTATTTTTCCTTACGTTACATTTGTACGCGTATATAATATGTATATAGATTTGTGTATGCATTACTTATTTTGCAAGGTCATACGCATATTTGTACATACATACTTACATATAGAGTAGTGCGCGCACATGTATTTATTGATAAGTGATAATATATTATTATATTATATTATATAATATAACATATTGATGTACATATGTACATACATAAATTATTAATTTTGTAACAATTGATATTAAAGAATTAAAAAAAAAAGTAAAATAGATTTTTTTTTGCATAATCTTTCGCATTTGTGCAAAAAAATCATATTTTATCAATTTTTCATCATAAAAATCGTTTATATCACAAAAAAAAATCACGCATAAGTGGCATTTGTATTTTTTGTTTAAAGTACAATATTTAATTTTTCAATTTCTGTTGGTAGATACGTATAATATTTTGTCAGAGAACGTTGTTATAAATTCTCATTTCTGTTAAATAACAGCAAATACTAAAGAGAATGGTGAACTCCCTGATCGGAATATTTCACCTCAGTTAGCCGTCCAATCGAGCATCATACAAAGTTAAATTTGCACCTTCTCGTTCTTCTAAGTTCTCTGGTTGGACAACGTATCTAAGGTGCAACTAATCTCCTTCACGGAGAGTTTGGGTGTTGACCACATAAGCACCACGCGAGAGATTAGTAAGCTCATAACTGCACTGGCAGAAAATGCGCACGATGACCCCGAAATACACGAAAAAATGAAAAAAAATGGAAGCTATACACAAAGCAAATGAGTTCGCTTCACGAGACGAAGGCGATCAGAAGACACCACTTCCACCAGGTAAAGGCAGAGGAAATGCGGCCATTTTCGCGAAATCATCACGATAAAAGCCACCACCAATAAGCATGCCGAATAACGGCATGTCACCTCAACAGAACCAGATTCCACCGACCAAGTGAGGAAGTGGTCCGTAAAATACGACGGCGGGAGACACCCATTGGCGTTAATCGAACGAGTGGGAGAGCTAACAGAATTATACATGATAGACACAGACCTTCTTATAAGAGCCATGCCCGAGTCACTGTGCGGTACCGCTCTCCAATGGTATCGCAATAACAACGAACATTGGAGGAGTTGGACTACCTTCAAAAGAGATTTTTTGCGTTTTTTCTTACCAGCACGTTACTTCAAACGCCTCGAAGATGACATACGGCAACGAAGACAACACGTGCGCGAAAAGTATAAGGACTACGTTCTCGCTTTACAGAATGAGTCACGCTGGATATAACCAAGAATAGCGATTGGAAAGAATGTTTCGAAATAGCCACACCGATTATCTACTCTACATTCGGCGTGGCCTATACAAAAAACGCGTCATGCCATTCGGTTTACATTCGGCACCTGCGACGTTCCAGAGGGTGCTCGACCAGGTCATAGGCCCTTAAATGAAACCACGCGCCTTCGCCTACCTCGACGACATAATCGTTATAGGCTCTACATTTGAGAAACACATACAGAATTTACGAAAGGTAATACAGAGACTACAGCAGGCCAACCTTCGAATCAATCCTGAGAAATGCGAGTTTTTTAAGAAGGAACTCCGGTATTTAGGTCACGTGATCAGTGACAAAGGCATCCACACCGACCCCGATAAAGTAGCAGCAATCCAGGAGCTGAAGCCCCCAACAAGTGTTAAAGGAATACGGGATAGCGATATCTTGGGATAGCCTCCTGGCACCGCCTTATTAAAAGAAGGAAGACACTGGAAATGGGGAGCTGAGCAACAAGAAGCATTTAAAAGCATCAAGCACAAGCTAACAGAGGCTCCTATCCTCGCATGTCCGGACTTCAGCCATATATTTACCTTGCAGACGGACGCCAGCAGCATCGGCCTTGGTGCAGTGCTGACACAGAAACTGGAAGAAGGCGAACGCGTAATAGCTTACGCCAGCCGCAAACTGAATAAGACAGAGACCAACTATTCGGCTACCGAAAAGGAGTGCCTCACCATAGTCTTGGAATCCGGAAAATGAGACCCTACCTAGAGGTATATAGATTCGAGGTGATAACGGATCATATGTCACTGAAGTGGCTGAATTCCATAGAAAGCCCTTCTTTAGAACCATAGCAAAATACGTTCGACATCGAGTGTCAAAGTGGAACTCAACCTAGTAGCGGACGCATTGTCCCGGCAGCCACTAGAGACCATATTTCGGACAACGGCGTCCAATTTACTAGTACGATATGGCAACACTACCTAAAGAACTAGGGGTACGCCAGCAATTT